CCCTACTCAAAGCACAGGCCCAGTTGACTTCAGCTCCCAGCGCTTCTGCATTTCAGGCCCCAGGTGTCTCTTGTTGAGCACCCAGAAAATGAGGCCAAGCACTCAAGAGGGAGGAAATTCCAGAATGATGTCATCTTTGCTACATGTGGGGAGGGGGAAGGAGCTAATCGTGCCCAGGCAATCCAAATTCTGGCATTCGCTAACATTTTAGCATTTGGCTCACAACCATATCATTCTTTTAGCTGAGTTTCTCTGTGCATGTGTATACATTTCTCTGTAAATAAATAAGAACATCTGAACTGTATCTAACCTGCTAGAAGCTCTTGCACTGCCTTCCCAGTAAAACTAATTTATTGATCTGTGTGCCCTTGGGAAAAAAAAAAAAAAAAGGCATGTGTTGTAATAGCTTTTACTTATATTTCCTGCTGCAATTAAATCTAGAGAAATCCAGGAAAATTATTTTGATTACTCCCGGAAGAGGAAGGAAGGGTAGTAAAGAAGTTCTGTCTTAATAGGTGCTGAAGAATCAATACACCTCCCTGCTCCAGCTGTGCCTCAGCTATTCATTCCTTCTCTGCTTTGGAAGCAGGAACAGACAATAGGCACCCAAAATCAGGGGGATCAAGGACTTCCAGGGGACAGGACATTTGCTTCAATTCCATCTGAAAACTACTAAATCTCAAGTTCTACATTTGCTACATTGTCCCTATCCATTACCCAGTTACGAGCACAGCATGCTGCCTTAAAAGTCCCAAGATTTTCAGTTGAATATTTGGGTTTTTTTTGTTTCCTTCCTGCCAGTTTTCTCCAGTCCTTCCCCTTCTGAAACTTTCCTGCATAAGCAGACAGGTTGGAAACAGGTTAAAAATGGAAGCTGAAATCCATATGTAAACAGCTGGCTCCAAGACCTGGTGCTCTAGGGAATGAAAACTTGTAATGCAAGACTCACAGAACTCTTGTGGGAGTTGGCTTCGTTTAGGTATCTACCATAAGTGTGTCTGGGTGCATATATCTGCACACCATTCTGATGCTATCTCTGTGTGCATATGTACCTGAGGTTAGCAGGGTATTCACTCCCTGCTGCACCAGGCACTCCTCTCTCTTCTCACACTTCTCATCTGTTCTTTGAAACTGGGAGTGCCTCTCTCTTTCATACATCCTACCTCTGCTAGTGCCGCACACCGATGGCAGAAGGACCTTTTTTTACCCTTCCTATGTGTGTACAGCAGGTGAACTTTTCTCATTGACTCTCTGCTGACTGTGTGTGATGTTATCTACCTTTGAACCAGTGGACAGAGCAATGTGTTTACCCGGCCTAACTGAAATGCCCTGGCTTGCTCTCTAAAAACTCTTCTCTGTAGCCCTTCTACAAAGAGTATCTAGGGAATTGTAACTGCCAAGTGGGGCATCAAAGGAAGGCATCATGAATATCCTACCTTTACTCCACTTCAAGTGGCTGTTTCCTCTCATGGACTGTAAAATCCCTGATAAATGGGTGGCATTAGTTAGTAGTGTTTTTGATTCTGGAAATGCCTCCCCATCCATGCTGGATGTATTGTTATCCCTCCTCCCTGACATCTGGGGAGCCAAGCTTTCCTTCTCCTCACTGCAATTGCTAGAAGTAGGGAGAGTGATGGAAGATCTTATGCCAAGATTTCCTTTTTTTCCCAAGAGGGAGAAGACTGACTGTCCATGCTGAGACACTTTCTTATAGTATGTGGCTAAGTCAAGTTCTCTAGCCAAGATGTCAGCTAGCAACTTGTGCTCTGTGGGCTTCTGGGGGGAGAAGTTCTAGGGGAGGCAACATGGTGGGAATATTATGGTGCCTGTTATGTTATTGAAAACAAAATACAGCTGCGTGTTGCTGTTGGCTGGATGCAACCTGTCAGCACCAATATTTCCCCAAGAAGCCAGGCCTGATTGCAGCCTGCCTTTGCAGGAGAAGGTGCCAGTAGCCGAGCAGTTTGGAGAAGTGTGACATGTTGCCCCTTGCCCGCTTCCAGGCTGTGTTAGCACAGCAGTGTGAGAGCAAGCAGTGTGCCTGGAGAAGCACCATGTTGCGAGGAACCGTGTGGTGACAGGCAGATTGCTCAGAAAGCCCCCAAGGAACTGCAGGGGTTTTGCAGATGGCTGAATGCCCTGGGGCTGAGACAACATGTGTTCTTTCATGCAATGAACTGACCCAGGGCACCAGGGGTGCTTACTATGCCTTAATGGTGCATCAGGCTCCAGAATAACTCCAGAATAATTCCTCCATAGCCCACAGATTTGCTCATCCAAATTACTGTAACTCAGTCTTTTAGGACCAGGTCTATTTTCAGTCTTAGTAGTTCAGTGAATCTACAAGGCTGAGCATCCCTGCCCTTTCATGAGTATGAGTGGGTTGGGTGCTGGCCCTGGGCACTGGAGAATGAATCATGTTGCTGTAGCTGGGAACAAGTAAGGAGGGTTAAGGAGGCTTTGAGCCAATTTGATGTATCACTGTCTTTCCAGCTCTGCTGGTATTATGTTTTGGTCTGGACAATCAGAACATGTATAACTTCAGACAGGTATCAAGGAAGGAATGGTTTGTCCTCCTGAATAAAATGAGAACATGTGAGTGTGAGGAGAGAGAGGAAGGGAGAGAAACATTTGCATAGGTCAGGAAAGGTCATTCAAACATCTGGCAGTAGTAACTGACATGTGTCAAATTTTAGTGTTCATTAAATTCATATTAATGCAAGAATGAATCTTAAGCTCCAAATGCCATTTTCGGTTGCTGTGTTCCCATAGTTGATGGTGATGACTTTTCAGAACTGTACCATGCTTGTTTGCTTGCTAGTGGCATCTGACCTAAGGTCAGGTTTCTATTTAACCCTTTCCTGTAGGTCAAAAGACAAATTAATCTGCTGAGAATTGAATTGGAAATGAGGTGTCTGGATAGCAGGTGTCCCAAATGTGGAATTGCTGCCAGGCTGAAACATGTTTGCATCTGTTCTTATGCCATCCCATAAGTCATCTCTGAGGTCAGGGAGATATTCAGCTGACATCTGAGATGGGAAGTTGCCACAGGGAGCACAAGTGGCAGGTGCCCTGTGTTAGCAGATTATCTTGCAGTCTGGGGGAAAAATTCGGAGAGTGTCACTTTATGTATAAATGGAATGTTTCCATATATTGTCCACTTTACTTTACCTGTGTTTACTATGAATTTATAACATTAAAGAAGAACTATTTCCCTCTCCCTTAAAGAGGTGAATCTCACAAATCTTTTTCTTACTTTTATTTTTAGAGGATGAAGATGATGAAGAGATGGTGGAGCCAAAAGCGCAGGATGACTTGGAGAAAGAAAATCAAGACCAGAAGCAGGAAGTTAAAGAAGGTACTTTAAAAAATGAAAAGGATCTTGTTACAGCTTTAAAGGACTGAATCCTGCAAGTAGTTACTCTCATAGGTAGTTTCCATTATTGAGAACACTGTGAAATCGAAACAGTCACCAGTTTTATTGATTCAGAACCACATAAGTGGCATAAAAGCAGAAAATTGTATCCCAGCCACCCAGCTGGTAGGTTTGAGACGCTTGTGAAAGGCACAAGAATTCTGCTGTTTAGAAGAAGCAACATGTCCTCATAATTTGGGAACAAAGTAGAGATTCTTGGATTCCAGGACTGGTGCTTACTTGTCCTCTGGCTCAAATAGCCTGCTTACATGAAAGATTTAAAGTGCAAATGCCAGGCATTCCAGCGGCTTCATAAAGTTGGTTGGTCTTGAGGTACTTGGAGCCCATAACTCTCTGCCTGCCTGAGAGGGGCAAAATTAAACCTAGTGGTGGTCAGGAATCTGCCAGCATAAAAACCATTTCACAGGAAAATGTTGACTGTCAAAATAAAAATTTTTGTGTAGAAGCTGCCACCAAGGAACTCAGGGTCAAAGCTGAAGCCAGGCAAGTCCAGCTCTTCTATCATTTCTCTGGATTGAGACACTCTCCAGGGTTACAAGAGACAAAAATTCAGTTTACTACCTCTTTCTGGTGGAAAAAAGAGACGTGTTGAAGTGGCACATGTCAGCACTCAAGACAGTAGATATGCTGGGTGTCTCCTGTTTGCTTCTCTCGGGCCCACTCTCACTTTTGTAATTAGAAGAGGGATGTGAAATTTGGTCTTCCAGATCTGGGAATCAGAGACAGTATTGCCTATTTGGGTGTGTCACTTTGAGCAGCCAGGGCTCACACGTGTGTGGAGTGGGGTAAAAGAGCTGAAATGTCAGCAGCTCCAGTGTGAGAGGAAATTAGTTTATTCTCCAAAATTCCTTAGCTCTATGTTGCCAGGACTGCTCACAACTATGTTTACTGCCTTGAAAGGTAACTTACTTCCTTAGGTAGGGCCTAAGCTGCTTCATGCTACAGTGATCACTGTCACTGGGAAAAATATGGAGTTGTTTTACAGAGAAGCCCATAAAACTGTTAACTGTGAATACAACGGTAGATGCTCCTTTCTCATTCAGGGAAGCCTGGCATAATTTCCATCCATGCCCAAAAACCTGCATCTGGTATATTTTGCCCACAGTCTCTATCCCCACACAATGAAGTGAGTTGCAGTGCCAGTCATGCTGTTTTGATTATAACTTGTTCTTTATTCCCAATTAAGAGCATCACAGAAATCACCCATGCCATAACTCCTGCAGTGTCCGTTGCTCATTAGGTCCTTGCAGAAACACGGAGGGGGGAGCTCACTCCTCCCACTCCTCATCCTTCTGCTTCTCCCACCACCCCCAGTCACTGCTGCCGTGGGCAGAGGAGAGCAGCAGGAGCAGTGGTGACAGCAGCAGCAGGAGTCACACAAGAGTCTGCAAAGGCATAACTGATGACATAAGCAAGAAGCATGGCGGGATAGAAAACCTTTTTGTTGCTGAAAATTATCTTTCCTCCCCGGACTGTGGGGTCAACTCACAAGTGGGATCTAGCAGTTGCTGGACTTAACACAGTATCTAGTCTACTGATGACAACAGGAAGCCATAAAACCAGATATCACTGCACTTACACAGTGTCCTGAGTTGCTGATTGGCTCTCTAGTATTCAGCTTACAGCTGATTTCACCCCCATTTATTTCCTCCTCCACCTGGGGAGAAAGCACAAACTCCTGCATGAAGAGAAGAACAAAATCTAAATACATTCCTTGAACTGATTTATTTCACATTTTTGTGGGCTTTCAAGTTAGCCTTTTATGTACTTTGCTGACCAAGCACCACCACCACCACCATCTTTTATTTCTTTATTGTTTTTTTTCAGTCTGGAGGCAGCGCTCCCTTTCTGTGCCTAGCAGACCCCCCAGGAGTGGTAGATCAACTGGGCTAGTTTAGCAGTAGTCTCACACACAAACTACAGGCTGGATAAGCAAGGCACAGCTTGTTTTAGCAGAACCGGCTTTGTGAGGTGCTAACACTTGACTGGGTTCAAGGAGGAAGAAAACATGCTCGTTGCCTGATAGAAAGTGAATTTGACCTGCAGTACGTGCTGTGATGGATGAAACAGTGGTGTGCAGCATTAAGTGCTGCATATCAAATGAAGCAGTTGTCCCTAAACTGACAGGGAATGAATCCCGTTTTTAGTGTTTAGTGTCATTCTCCCTGTTTGCTTTAGCACATTTGCCAAGAAAATCCTATTTTCCTCGCTGTTGTAATCACCCTTCTCATGTTCTGAGCAGCATTCAGGGTTTGAAGCCATCGTTTGTGTTTCATGGAAGTGATTAAAACCATGTTACAAGTCAAACAGGAGTTTAGAAGAACATTTCCTGTCGGTGCTGCGCTCCGTGTGCCTACTCAGAATTAATAGCTTTTCTGCAAATTAGCACATAATGGGTTAAAAGCATGTTTATGTTGGCATTAAGTACTCTGGCTTCTTTTTCTCTGCAAGGCAAGACAATATTTTGCAAACTTTTTAAAGAATCTCTAATAGATATTATAGTGGCGCCATTCACACTGCTATATAGTAGTTAAGGCTGTGTCAGCACTTCCATTATGAATCCTGTTTTTCAGGGATTTATAACCCAGCCGTAAAAATTTGCTCTGGGCTGAAATTTGGTTTCAGCTCAGGGAGCACATTTTTTAACAGATTAAAAAAAATCAGCATGGCCTTTTTTGAGTTATAGGCGCATAAGGAAAAAAATACCATGGTCTAGAAAAGTGTGGGGAGAGAAAGGCAGACAATTTTTTCATTAATATAACTTAAAAATAGGTCAGGATGAAAAAGATTGGATCCAGTTGCTCAGACTCCCTTTCCCCAAGCCAACAGGACAGGAGAGTTCTGTTTTTATAATGGTATTTTAAGTGGAAATGTGATACTTTTTTTCTCCGTGGTTTATAGGTAGTCCAATTTAATTCTACAGACATTTATTGCATGCTTCATTTCCTTGCCTTCTCCCGCACTCTCCAGAGCTGCTCTGTGGGGTTTGGTGGGATTATCCAGCAGGCACACACTGCACCTGCAAGAGGGCAGCCTGCCTGGCACAGCACTTCTTGGAGCACTTCAATGTCATGAAGGTGCTAAGGGCAGTGGAGCATCTCAAGTCCTCCAAAGTCTTTCTGGAGTGGGAGGGGGAAACCTGGCTTGTTGACATTTTGAAGCAAATGAAGCCCTGGGACCCGGTTATGTTTCTTCCACTGGGCTGTCTGTTGCCACCTATGTCTCAGGTACATAGTCTCCCCACCATCCTTGGAAGAGCTGAGTGTGGGGTACCTGCTGTTGAAGTGGGCTGGGCTCTGCCTGTTCCCAGCCTCTCCTGACCACATAAACAAGAGACTGGTCCCAAAATGTAGCATCACGAAGGTTGGGGCTTTCCACCGCCAGAGAGCTCTGGAGCTCCACTTAAGGAGCCTCTTTGTGTCAGCAGAAACCACATGAACAGTGGGACAGGCTGAGTCTTGAAAGTGGGCCTCAACCTGCATTTATCTGAAGCCATGGATATATCCACAGAAACCTGCATGAAGGGCTGTGGTGGGGGAAGCTGAGATCTGCAGCTTCAAAGACCTTCTCTGCCCCCCTCTGCCCCTGGCACCTCTGCATGGGGCTTGGTGTCCACATAGCAGGCTGTGGTGTGGGAGACTGTTCAGCTCTCACCAGCTCAAGCTTGAGTATCGGAGAAGCAGGACAGGGTGCCAGCTTTGCCCCTGTGAACTCACTGGGGTTTGCAATAGCCTGTAACACCAGGGTTTCACTGCTGCCAACACCACAGTGAGCTCGGCTGTGCCCACCCATCTGGGACAGCCCAGCCCAGGGGTGCTCAGGGATGGTGCTCAGCATGTCCCCTGGAGAGGCACGATTGATGGGAACAGCCCTGCCTGGCACAGTTTCAAATTTAAGTCTCTGGACCCTGCTACTCCAGAAATGAAATATCCCTACATGCACCTTGAAATCTCTCTTCACACATTCAGCAATGGTGTCATGCAGGGACTTGGGTTTTAAACCCAGCAGAACCAGGATTTGACCCATATGAAACCAGAATATGGCAGGTATCAAGCCTGACATGGAAGTGAGAAGCACAAGGAAAACAAGAGGATCACAGGCTATCGTCAGGCAAGGACTGAAGGCTGTTGAGAGCCCCTTAACACTTTGCAGTTCTCACACTGTACATTTCTACCATCCTCGGTCGTCAGCACATCTAAAGTTTATGTGGATTTAAGTACGAGCTAAAAGAAATAATACAGCTCTTAAAAGGGTTTTACTAATCTCCTTCTGTCTCTTGTTATATCTCTGGACTCATAACAAGGCTGCTTCCTGCTTTACTGTTTTTATAAGTTTGCCCATTCTTTCTTTCACTTACTCTTACAGTTCTTTTTTTTCTTTCTTTCTTTTATTTATTTTTTTTTCCTTTAATTGATTTAATTTATTTTGTTAGATTTTTACAATTGCTTAGGTTCCAGGAGAATATTTTTAAATATTCTATGGTACTTATTTAAATTTGAGTTTCTTTTCTGTTTTGTTTTTTGTTGTTGTTCTTTGTTGGGGTTTCTCAAAATATCTTTTTGGGCTCCTTTGAGTCAAATCCCAATATTTAAATATTTGTGAATTTGATCCTGCACTGCTATCACAACTCATTATATTTAGTACAAACTTGTTTCTGCCAGATAAGAACAAGTCTGCAGCATTTGTATTTCAGCTCCTGAAGGCCTGATGTGAAATAATGGTATTTCTCATAGTCATGTCAAATCATATGTGAAATAAAAAGAAAAGTTATTATTTTTCAGACATAAGTATTGAATAATTCTGTTGTTTTCATGTCCCGTTCAGTTTTTGTTACCTATTCTAGGCCTTTTTGCTCATGCACAAGAGTACAGTGTCTTTCATTATGGATATACCTCACATTTTCTTCCATGGCAGTGCCCTCTGTGCACGTATAACTGCACCATGTTTTAATTTAAATGTAAATTCCAATTCATTTTATGCAGTATTATACATTAACAGGAGTACAGGGCTTCTTTGATACATGTTGTGACCTTGTAACCCCAGAGGCACCCGGACAGCCCTCTGCTTGTGGGTGTGGGATCCCATTGACATTTGGGTGGGTCTGTGAGCGATGGGATGTGCAATGGCCGTGTCAGGCAGGGTGTGGTTGCTGCACCGTGGGTCCTCCTGCCGTGAGCTGTGCTGAGCCACGGATGGGAAGCAGAGCTCAGGCACAATAGTTCGTTATGAAGCTGTGGTATAGAAACAGCCAGGTATGGGTTTTCCTTTGCAGGAGCTTTCATTGCACCCCGGGCAATAAGCACATAACTTCTAGCACTGGTGAGCGAAGCATCGCACTAGGCTTTGTTAGAGGAGGAAGGTTAGATGTGGTTTGTTTGATTTTTACACCAGGGAGAGTAGATCCTTGAAGGCAAATGCTTTATACTTACAGGGAATTTGTGAAGATATTGTCACATCTCATAGGTCTCAGTGACAAAACCAAACAAAAAATACTTTGATCAGCTACTTGTGTTTCTCGTAGCTTTCCTTGAAGAGAGTCTGTGTCTCTTGAAAGCTGAGATCAAAGTAACTGTGAGCTCCCAGACAGGAAGAAAAATTGCAGAAAATTACATCGATTCTTTTTATTTTATTCAAGGTAATGGACAGACAGGGAGAAGGAACAAGGGGAAAATGGAAGTGGCTCTGAAAGATAAATGGTTTGAAAATCTTCATGTTTGAAAGAACAAGCCTGTCTGTTTTGGGTTTTTTTTGCTTATACTTCATGTATTTGCAGTAGTTACAGCAATGTTTTACACTGGAAAAAATAATGATGTTAACATTCTTGTAAGAAGATATTGCCTCAAATAAAACTTCAGAGGCAGCCGAATGAAAGAAGAAAATAAGGTTAAAATATGAAGCTTAATATCACCAGGGGGCATCTGGTGTGTCAGTCAGATGAATGAGGTAAGCTGATTTATGCCCTAAAAACTTTAGCCAAGGTGTTTCTGATGCCGAAGAGGGTTTAATAGACTGCTGGCCTCCCACAGATCATTGCTAACTGCAAGGGAGATTTTGCTGAAGTAGAACTGCAATCATGTGTGTCTCCATTGCTTGTGAACACTCCACAGCTCCCAAGCTGTTTATTTTTTTTGCCTTTTCCCTTTCTATTGATTTTTGGTTGTATTTTCTTTGCCAGCTATAGTTGGCAAATGGCCGAGTAATAAATTTATATTTCCAAGCTGTAGAGAGGATTTGATTTAGCAAATAATTCTTACCATTTGGAGGAGTTTGAAATGAGTTTTCTAGTTGCCTTTGCAGTTATTTTCTCCCCTTTTATGCTTTTTTTTGCTGCTTTGTCATGCTTGTTGTCTTTGATTCTCAGAAAGCGATGCTTTAGTGGTGACAGTGGGATATTGCCACATTACAGGCTTCCTTGCCAGATCAGTTCCCTTAGTGCCAATTACTATTCAGTAGTGGATGCTGCAATAGGTCAACCTGTACTTTTTGCTAGTCATTCTCTTTTTTTCACATGCATTGCTTCTGTCTAAAGCACTTTGAGGCAAATTGTGCTCCTGCCTTGGTAATTGTCGCTCTGCTACTCAGGGGAACAGTGCGGGGGGATGTAGATATTCCCTGGATGCGTGGAGCTCCACAGGGACAACTAGCCTAGTGATAGGAGGCATAAGGCCAAGGCCATAGGAGATCATCAAAGGCTAAAGCTTCTAACTTTTTAGTAGCTCTGTGGCATGGCACAGCAACTGGAAGATAATTTAGAACTGCAACTTTAAGCTCTGTCACTTGTTTAATTAAATACTAAGATATGCATGACAGGGCTTGGAGTTAAATGTTGATGTATACTGGGTGTTCTCTGAGGCACCCTGCCACTGGTGCTTGAACCTAATATGGCCTAAGGAGACTGCAAAGTCATTCTCACAAGTAAACACCTCAAATCCGTATTGTAAAGCTGAATGCAGGAGACCTTTGATCGACAGTTAAACTCTGAGAACAAGGCTCTGTAATTTTGCAATAAACCTTTTTATGGTATGTTCTGTGTGTATCTAACTGTAAATTTGGAACAAAATTTTCAGTTAGCCTAATTCCTGTCATATCAATGGAGCGTTTCATGCCAGGAATTTAAGCTACTTGCAAGGTTGATTTGGTGTAACTGAAGATACTAACAACATTTTTTGAAACACAAATAATTCTGAAATATGACTAAAATTATTATTTAAAAGGATATGTGGGCAGAGGTATAATTGATATACAACATTGCTGCGATATCAATGACCCTGCTAATGTAATTGAGAACGGAATTTTGCACTATACTAACAGCAGCATCCCAATTTTCTTTCCCTCTGATGCTCACATCTGAGTTGGAATTTACCAACAGGTCATTAAACTGATGGAGATGTAGCAGTGGTGCATCCTGCAAAGATAGTAGTTTTCAAATGAAGGGCCATACTTGAAACACTGGTTTGGAGGTAAAGTTTTAGCATCTCTGCATGCATGTAAAGAAGCCACTTCAGCTTGCAGGGGCCAGGCGCTCCTGGTCGGTGCCAGGAGGTATGAGCTTCCCAGCCCAGAGCCCGAGGCAGCTCCTGCCCCCTCCCAGGGCAGCTTTGGCCACTGCTCAGTGGCACTGAGAGCCAGAGCTCTCCTCTGCAAGGAATGAAACTGTCTTAAAGAAACTGGTGTTTGGTCGGCTGCTTTTGATTTTGCTGCCTCAGAGAATATCTTTGGTTATTTACTTCATTGCTTTGCAAAAGCTCTAAAGCAGAAACAGAATTTATCAGTGACACCAAGGAAAAATGGGAAGAAGTGAAGGGAAAGATTATGTGAGCCCTTTCAACACAAAGAACTGTAGTATATGGTAAGAAGATTATTTTATCTTTGGCTCCTCTGACAGGTCCCCTGTTACATAAGTGTTCTGCTTTTTCAAGCTGGGTATTGCCTAAATGTCAGTCAGAGCCATTTCCTGAAATAGGAACATGGCGTTTATTTAATTTGGGAGGTTTAAGTATTTTCCATTTCAGAATAATAAATATGTGAGATATAGGATCTCTTCTGTGTAAATGCTACATTTTGGGAATATACAGGAGTATGTTTAGTTATACTAAAAAATTCTTAGTCATTATTTTAAGAGTAAAGCTTTGATTTTTGTCCTGACATTGCTATGGCAAGCTTTCATGTCAAAAGAAACCTACTGAAGATGTTGATTCATTGGGAAAGGGGTGAAATGTCATACTCTTAAGTACATCTTTTCATTTTCCAAGCTCCTCCTAGGGAACTGACAGAAGAAGAAAAACAGCAGGTTCTCCATTCAGAAGAATTCCTGATCTTTTTTGACCGGACAATACGTGTAATTGAGCGAGCTTTGGCTGAAGATTCAGACATCTTCTTTGACTACAGTGGCAGAGATGTAGAAGAAAAAGATGGGTCAGTTTGGGAGGTTTTTTTGCTGTTGTCAAATAAGCTTTATAAAAAGAATTTCAAAGCCAGAAAGCCTTAATTTTAAAACTAGATTAAACATATTTATAGTTAAGCAAAGGTTAAAATCTCTCTGTGAAGGCCTGGGTCACTTCATTAGCCAAAATGATTTTGTAAAACAGCTTCATGCTTTATTACACTGGCTTTTTTTTCTCTGATGTATTATTCAGGTGATTTAATTTTTTGTTTCATTTTTGGGATGAAATTTCAAATTCTGAAGAAGCAATTGAAATAGATACATGTGTGTATACACATGTATATGCAGATGTGCATGTGTACATTCCAGTGTTGTATGTCCGTGTGCTTATATCATTACATTTTTACAAATTTGAGTTACTGTTGTTTTATCTTCTACTGCTGCCTCCATTTTGTAATGGATCCCACTGTGCTGTGCATTGTGGGGTTGAAAATAATCTCCCAAAGTGTTTGCAATCTAAAAGCACAAGATGAGACGTGACAGGTTTTGTATTCAGCAATTGGTAGAGGAGTAGAAGCAACAAAACCTGAGAGTAGGAGACGAAGTATTTAAGTTTCAGCAGCTGAGAATCTGTTGAAGCCTCATGGCAAATCAGTAGCTGTGTGGCACTGAAGTTACTTGCTGGAGGTTACTTTGGAGCATCGCCCCTGTGGACTGGCAAAATGCATCAGTGTGGTAGTGTTGGACGAGGACTGAGCTTCAGCCCATCCTAACGGTGCCAGAAGGCATCCACCATCTCCATTGCTGAGAAGAAGTGTTGTATCTTTAAGATTTCAGGAGTCAAAAATAAGAGAGATTTGTTTATAGCTTGGAGATGAAGATTCAGAAAAGAGGGAACGGAATGCCAGGCCAAGGTCCAGTCCTGAGAGACAAAGGTGTTAGAATGTGACCCAGAAGAGTGAGTTAGAAAAGACTCAGGAAGGCAGTGGGAAATTAAGAAATGTGGTTTTGTGAAACACGTATAAAATTTGTTCCTTGGTGCAGATTTGTTACTCTCGGCAAGACAATGAGAGCAATTAAAACAAGGTGGCAGAGTTCCCCAGCTTGGGCAGAGATTTGAGAGGCAGTCAGAAACTTCTGTATTGCTTTTCACATAATTTGAATCCTGGTACTTCAAAAGTGTCACTTTGTTTGAATTCACACAGAGATGTTCAAGCAGGAGCCAACCTTTCCTTTAACCGCCAGTTTTATGATGAGCACTGGTCAAAGCATCGTGTTGTCACCTGTATGGATTGGTCTCTTCAGGTAAGATGTGAAGCTGGGAGATATGTTTCTATATACCTTCCAACTTCTCCCTAAAAATTACAGCCAAATTACAGCAATTTTGGTTTTTGTTCTGCAGAGCATGATGTTATTTCTTAGCTAACAGCAGAGTGAGTGAATGCATGTTTCTCCATAAACAAGAGTAGTGGGCAATAATGACCCTGTCTTTTTTTTTTTTGTTTTTCTATGTTACTTGGTCTTCAAAACCAGGATGTTGCAGTAAGACTGCAATTTAACAAACCTAAGATGAGTCTTTACTTTTGCTCCCCACTCCACTCCTTCTGCACACAGAAATTTTTTTGAGACAAGTGGTTTAATATTAAACCAATTAAAAATAATTGACTAAATATGTAGCAATTTCTTTAATAAACAGTTATACATCATAAAATATAACATTTTAAAAAATAATAGTGAGGACTGAACTTGATTTTCCTAATATACTAGAACCTAAAATGTGAAAGTATTTGAACAAGATGAAAAGACTGAGAAGAAGTCTTTTGAAAAATGCTGGGTGTTCTCTCTAAGCCACAGAAGAGGAGGCTGCAGCTGGCCAGGGGGCATGCTAAAGCAGCGTGCTTGGAACTTGTCCAGTTTCTGTGCACAGCAAAGCATTGTCATATTGCAAAATAAAACTGATGATATTGCTGCTTAAGCTTCCCAAAACCAATACAGCCACATCAGCAAAGCACAGAAACCAGGTTAATTAGTTACTCCATTAGAGAGCTGGGATTAGCAAACACATATCACCACAGGTCCTGTCAAATTAATTTGGTCCCAGTTTCACTCCAGCCCCCCACATCCTCTCTGCTTTGTCTGCGTTAGCCTGTTCCTAGGTTCCAGCCTGGAGCAAAGCAGCTGGTTTCCCTGGGGAGAAAAGAGGAAACCAGGGAGAGCCTGCTGCAAGGCCCGTGATACAGATGTAACAAAACTACTTCAGAAGGACATAGGCTTGAAAAATGGAAATGCAAGCTAGTCTGGCTAAGAAGTCGGCCCCAAAGCCAGCCTCAGGCATGTCCTGATGCGTCCAGAGCCCTGATGCAGCCTGCTGTGGGTAGCAAAGATGCTTTACGTGTAGCTCAGACAGTGCTAAGAACAAGCTTTGCTTAGCCCAATCTCAGAAAAGCTGCTCTCTCTGCACCATGTTAGAGACAGCATGTGTTTAAGGCCAAGGAAGTAAGTGGCATGTGCAGGCTAGGGAGAGGCAGTGGATGCGGAGCACTGTGACTTTCACATCCGTCCCTCTCTCCTTCCCCTTGAAATGGCAGCAGGGCTGCTTCCACCCCTTTGGGTGCTTCTCAGGCCAGGTGGCAGCTGACTGTGGGGGGGATGGAGGATGGAGCAGGCAGCAGGGAGGAGCTGGAGGTTCTCACGGAGCATTCCCAGTGTGGGTCTGGCTATCCAACCTGGTGTGAAGCTCAGCAGCCAGCTGCAGGGAGGCTTCTTGTAATATCCAGCTTGCACCCAGTGTGTGAAATGAAGGATTTATCCCTTTGCTTTCATACAAAATATCAGCTTAACAACAGGTATGCACTGGTGTGACGTGGGTGGCCTTTAAGCACATATGGATTTCCAGAGAAATCAAATATAAGCCCGAGGAAACACTTATCTTAGGTTGTTCACTTGTTCAGGGGCTGGAAATTACATGGAATTCTTATCTGATATTTTCCTAACAGGCAGCTCTTACTGTATTCCCAGGGCAGCAAGAAAAAAAGCCGCCTCAGAAGAGCACTGCCAAATGTAATTGCTCAGCCCCTGGGGCTCCCAGGCATGTTCTGCTTCCCACCTCTTTGTTCCAGGGTGGCCCCTCCTGCCTTCCTCTCCGTTAACTCTTGCCGCTCAGCTCCCTGGCACCCAGCGGTGGCTTCTCCATGTGGCGGGGGGGGGCGGGGGGGGGGGGGGGCCCGTAACGGGCCGGGGGGAGGGGCGTTGCCCCTCCC